CAAGTTCGGTTGTTAGGACCGAAGGGTAGGTCGGACACCCCAGATATGTCTGATAATATGTTTATCTTATGATATATGTGATAGTAGCTGTAAGGGGTGGAATAGTCCCCGAGGTTCGGTTGTTAGGACCGATGGGTAGGTCAGCACCCCAGAACAGCTTGACACGGGTAGGTCAGCACCCCAGACTGGCTTGACATGGGTAGGTCGGCACCCCAGAATGGTCGGACCGGGTAGGTCGGGCACCCCAGAATTGCCCGGCAGTATGTATGCTATGTGATTGTATGGTATGTGGTATGATGGGGGAACTCACTAAGCTTCGTGCTTACGGTTACAGTTTTGGTTTCAGGTACTCGTTTCAAAGGAAAGGAGCCGGCTTGATCGCAGCGCATCACACTGTGTTTTCCGCACATTAGATCTTTGGGAGTACACTCTGATATGGTTTTATGATAATATGTTTTGATTACTGACATTTTGGTTGACACGAGATGTTATTACTGACATTTGGGTTTATCTAACACTTTATTTTTTACGCTTATTTTTATCCTTTATTTATTTCATCATTATAAACAAATATAAAGCACATAAATTCACATAATACTCAAATAATTCATCTTTATTACCTCAAAATGAGTTACAATGGTTGACCTGACTATTACATCACTACACTAATACTTAGCCCAGGAACACGGGCGTTACAGATATTAAACAATGTTGCTTTTTATTCGTTAAATAAAAAACATTACAAAGCTATTCAAGGTACAAATATGTCACAAAATCAAAGTACAATAGTAAAGTATATAGGCTTCAAACTGCATTATCGGGGTTACCTCCCTCTTCATCCAGGCTCATTCTCCTGAGAATACATGTGGTTTTTGAAAGATCAACATAATGTCGGTGAGTCTACAGGTTTTATTATTGTAAAAATTTGTGTGGTTGTTTTATTTATCTTGTTTATTCTAAACTCACTTCCTCGAGTTTATGTTTACTATCACTATTTTCTTAGTTTGTTTCCTAGTAGTAGTCTAAGATAGTTAGTTTTAGTTTAACAATGTTACGATGGATTCCTATAATCGAGATATGGTTGTTGAGTGTTCCCCGAAAGATCACGACGATTCATCGGACGTCCCAAATATGTTTAGAAAGTTATGCCTGCTTCGACTTACTGTCAGGTTGTAGCTAGCAACCATAGGTAGGAGTGTCAATCTTATATAGATCTACACATATATTTCCCTCTCACTTTAGAAATAATGATTATAAGTCGGGGGCTAGCTGAAATTTTTTTCAGCGTGTTGATGAATTGTGTCTCATCTAACTCTTGTTGTGGGGGCCTCCCCTGGTCGGCCGTGTTGTTAATCAATTTAGTATGTTTTGCGTAGCCGAGTATATGGACAAAGTAACCACTCAGTACTAAGCTTATCCAAAGGGTAGCTATAATAACGACTAGAGTATCGATGTTTCATGGCAACTGGCCAGCGTAACAACTAGATTTGATATTTTTCTATCAGTGCGAATCAATATAACAACTAGGCATAATATTAACTTTAAAAGTTGAGAAGAGTATCTACCGGCATAATATCATCCTAAAGTTATGAGCATAATTATCTGACTAATCTTATACAATTAGTAATAACTATGTAATAGTTGTATCTTAACATGTATCCCCCCCCCAAAAAAAAAGGTTTAGAAAATGGGTACATGAACTCACATGTGAGTTATGATACCGTTGTTGTAGGGTGGAAACCGAAAGTCTAACCTTTGAGATGCACTTGGGGGTAGTGGCACACAGATCGAGAGAGTGAGGGAGAGTGTTTGAGATGTGTGGAAATGAGACTGTTGAAGCGTGCTAATTATAGCAAGTTTTGGCTTGTACGTCGCGCAATACGCGTCGCACATTTTCACGTGAGCCACAAAGGGTTGTCATGTGTCATCCTCTCCTTGTACCACGTCACCCCGTATCCTGGTGGATCAAGTGTCAGATTGCACGCGGGTGCACGCGACGGTAAAAATCAAAATTTGAAATTTTGTAACTCTCGCATACGAACTCCATTTTCAATGACTCTTATATATCCGTGTAGGTCTCGACGTTCCCTACAACTTTCCTTTCGGTCGTTTTGACTAATTCTAACTTTCGTTTTTCGACTAGTTTTTATTACCGTTAGGATTTTATAAAAATCATAACTCTCTCATGCGGTTTCCGTTTTATGCGTTATTCATCTCAAAATTCCTACTTTGAGTAGTACTGCGATTTTCCTTTTGTTGAATTTTTCCAAAAGTCAACCATTCTCCTTGTAGTTTTCGTCGTTGTAAATTCTTACGTACGGTAGATATTTATTTACTACAAAAGTCATATCTCACCCATACTGATTCGAATTTTTGCGAAATTTATATTTCTGGGAACGTGGTACCTTATAATATCTAAAAATGCTAACCTGCTCTCAAAGTGACGTGACTTTTTGTGCACCTATTTTTTAGCCTAAAGGTTTACGTAATTAAGGACGCAAAGTTTGAATCTATTGAAATATATTGGGTGGTTACAAGATTGTCCTTATTAAATTTTCATTTTTTATCGTTAAAGACTAACGGCGGTCGATGACGTATTATCCAGGTTGTCACACAAATCCATACTAACTGGGAAAAGTGGTGTTTCAGACTTATTTTATGAGTTAAGGATTTTACTTTGATGTGTTTTAAGTTAAAAGTAATTAGATATGGTTGTAGAGCTCCTCGGTACCTTCCCGTGGATATAAATATCGTCAAAATTAGAGTTGAAACGAAGAAGTGATGACCGTTTGAAGTTAGGTCGGTTTTGGATTAAGTCGCGTACATTGGGCATAAGGGGAAGTACGATGGGCGTACTAGGATATCCCTAAATACGCTAGGCATACCAGGAGTACGTTGGGCATACGCGATCAGTGCCCAAACCTTATTTTTGTGGTTTGATCCCTATTTAAGCTCCTTAACTTCCCCAAACCCATTCCATTCTAAGCCTCCACCTCTCCAACACCCTCCCTTGAAAACCCTAACCCTAGTTTGAGCCTTTTGAGAAAAATAAGGTGATATTGAATGCTTTGGAGTGTTCCTAGTGCATCTTGGAGAAGAATGAGCTCTGTGGATAAGTGTTAGTTGCATTGGAGCTTGTAGATCTAGATTTTGTTCACCTTGATCTTTCTTCGAGGGGTATAAAGCTTGAATCTTGATGTCGCATTTGTTAGATCTAGCTAGTGTTGGGTGTTATGAGTTTTTGGTCACTTTAGTGCATAAAGTTTAGATCTTGAAGGTTTGTGACCTTATTATGTATAAAGTTGGAAACTTTATCCATCTAAACATCATATTGATTGAGATCTGAAGGTTAGAGACTTGGACTTAATAGATTAAGTTGAAAAAGATGCACTGTTGGTCCCTTTTAAGACTTAAAGACTAGATCTTGGTTGTTTGGACCATTCTAATGGATAAAGTTGGAAACTGTATCCATTATGGAGTTATTAGGAACCATAAAAATGTGATATTGGACCTCATATCCCTTCCGTGCAAGAGTTAAGATGTCTTAATGGATAGATAAGTTAGGGTTTTACATTTTGGACCTTTTCTAACAATGGAAAGACATAAAGGTGGAAACTTTATGACTGAAGTCGATGTTTTGAGATTAGATCTAATTGTGGACGTTTTGATCTTAATCATTAAGTCCTAAAATGAGAAAATGGTCACCAAAGGGGTACGTTGGGCTTACATATGCGTACGCTCAGCGTAATGCATGTTTTCCCCAGTATCATGATGTGACGGATTGTACATTAGGCATCAGCATGTAGTACATGGGGCGTACGAGTCCTATATGTGGGGCGTACTCATGAAACCCTCTTTTTGGGCCTTTTAGGCCTTGGGTCTTTTGGGAGTTGGGCCATGAGTTATTGGGTCAGATATGGGAATGGTAAAATGGTCTTTTACCCATTAGAAGGATATAATATGGACTGGACCTTGGATTTTAGGAAATGACCTTAATTACTGATTAGGATATTTGATTATGTTCAGGGTGAGGTTTTCGGTAACAGCAACGCGTGTATCTCAGTTATCTCGGATTGAGGTGAGTCTCCTCCCAGTGTTTGGCGGGTCGACGGCGCCAATGTCTGCCCATAGATTGTTGTTATTTGTATGCTAGTTGTTTGTGTAACTCTTGCATGTGTTGTATGTGTTTGTATGTATATCGGGCGGGGCCCGATGCCAAGCGGGGCCTAATGAGTGTGTTGGGCGGGGCCCATAGCATGTTACTGACAGATTTGTTCCGGGCGGGGCCCGATGATTTTCGGGCAAGGCCCATTGTATGTATGGTATGAGTTATTTTTGGGAACTCACTACGCTTTTTGCTTACAGTTTATGGTTATGGTTTCAGGTATTTCCGATTTGAAAGGGAAAGGCTCGGCTTGATCACAATGCATCCACCCATGTTTCCACAACTTTATGATTTTAGGATTGTACTCTGATAACTATTTTTACTCTGATATACTTTTGAATGATTGAAAAGGATAAATGGTTTTTATGGTTGATTTAAAAATGAAATATTTACCTTATAATTTTTGGGATGTTACGTTTTCATTGACTATCCAGACGAATATTTTACTTCAATAAGTGGAACAACTAGATTTTTAATGACGTTATGTTTCCACACAAATCGGAATTATTATGGGCCATATGGTAATTCTGAAAACGACACTCCATTCTTATATGTGGGTAAAGGTGGGGTGATTGTTGGATTTCATGGACATGTTGATGGATACATCAGATCTATTGGGTTTTATGTGATCGGAGCTCTACACTAGAAGAAAATTCCAGATTTGAGGTGAGGTTCACTCTATCGTCTTTTCCATCTCCTTCAACTTTATTTCCAAATGTTTATCACTATAAAATATCTATAACATTCACTTAGCTTAATAGGTTCTTATATTTTGTTTGATTGTTATTCTCTTTCACATCTGTTATTAATCTTCTCATTACATAAATGTTGTAGGATGTCTAGACTTGGAAGTCCCAGGGATGTAGGACCATGGGGTGCTTCTGGAGGTAAACCACGGGATGATGGGGTTTTCCAAAATATCAAGCAAGTTCGGGTTCAAGTAGGATATCTTTCAAAAGTGATTTTTGGCATTCAATTCAACTATGTTAAAAAGGATGGTAAATTCATTTTGTCACAGTTTCATGGAGGAACATATCATGATGAAGATATATCAGAAGTGGAGATTAATTTGGATGGTATGCAAGAGTATTTGACTGGAATATCAGGTTATTATGGACTTGTTGAGGGCTATGGTGGAGTAGAAGGTATAATCTCCCTCACTTTTCACACAAACAAGGGGAAACATGGTCCTTATGGACAGGAAAATGGAGGTGCGAGTTATGTTTATTTTACATCAACCACATCTTCTGGGAAAATAGTGGGTTTTCATGGGAGGAATGGTGGTTTTCTTACTGCAATTGGTGTTCATACAGAGTATTTCTGAAGATGATGGAAGAGTTTTTACTTGCAATGCATCCTAGACATTTTGCTTAAGATACATGAATGGATGATTTTTACATCAAGCTATGTAGTCATTTGCCTCAGATGTGGCTTACTGATATTTTTGCCTCAGGTGTTTGGTAGTCTAAACTTTTTATGTACATATAATATGTCGATTTGGTGGGGTTTCTTTTGAAGAACCTATAGGGGTGATAGGGGTGAAACTCTTACATAGGTATCTACCTTGTGGTTCAAAATAAGATTCAAAAAATTGATTTTAGCAATGAAAACATTTTAAAATGAATATCATAAACTAGTTTATTTTCCACCAATGATCATCTTGCAATCCATGGAAAGATAAAACAACCATAGATGGAAAAGATGAACAACCTTTATTGATTTTGAATCATCAAGGAGGCTAGGAAGTTGATGAAGGCAAATACTTAAAGTAGAGCTTCTCCACTTAAGACGGTAGTCTTCACTTGTAATTACTGTTTCTTAAACCTTAAAGAACTTATATCAAGTAAGCCTCAAAAGGAGAAGCAATTAAAGAACTCAATATTACATAACAATTGCAAGAGAGAGAGAGAGGGGAAACAATATTGTTCTCGAATTTCATGCAAAGAAGAAGAATAAGTAAGATGGTGAAATGACAAACACATGAAATAAGGTTTACTTGCAAATCAACGACATTAAATAACAAAATAGAAATTTCAAACCGAAAATCAAAAGAAAAACAGAAGAGAATCGACTAGTAAAGGATTATAAGAAATGGTATATAGAGAAAATGGGGTTTACCAAACCAATTTGATTGATACCAGGAGTAGAGATAAAGGCAATTTCAAAAAAAAATCCTTTTATCCTGAAATCACATTAATTAAATACAATCAATTTCAAATTTCAATTATGAATTTCATAAATGAAATTGGAGTAAGTAGGAAACCAAAATATAAGGGAGTATGAGGAAGCCATATGACAAAATAGATGTAGAGAAGGAGGCAATGTGGTCGGTTTAGGTTTGGTTTATTAGAGAATGTAAAGGTAACCATTAGAATTAGTTATGCTCTTAAAACTCTATTTTTCCCTTAAATTTATGGGTTAATCTCTTTTGGCCTAGCGGTAAAGAATGACTTTCTCAAATGAGAGGTCATGGAATTAAGTCTCTTAGGAGACATAAATGGTATTTAAACATAGATTAGTTAGTTTGCCATTTAAAAAGAAAATCGTTAGAATAGTATTTTAAAAAACAAAATAATAGTCTGAATGGTATGTTATAAACAAAACAATAATTCTTTATCTTTTATGATATATGTTTTGGGTTAATTACATGAATGGTCCTTGTGGTTTGAGGTAATCTGTGTGTTTGGTCCCTAAAACTTTTTTTTAACTCAGACCGTCCCTATATTTTATTTTTGTTTGGGATTTAGTCACTGATCAAAATAAAATGACTAATTTACCCTTAATAATATTTTTTATTTCTTTTATAATTTGATTTTAATTATTATATAAATTAAATAAATAAATAAACGCACCCCTACAATCCTCCATTTACCTTTTCTTAAACTATTCTCCTAGACCTCCTTCTTAAAAGCCATCGTCGGCCTCAACCACCACCACCACCACCGTTCATCGTTGGAGTTAAAGCAGTTATGGTATTGTTGATTCTTGTTGACCACCACCTATTCATGTAAGAAATCACCAGTATTTCACGTCCTTCGTCTGGTATCTGGTGAGCAAAACAACCCTAGATCCCGTTACTGCCTTGGTTGTTTCAGACCAAACCCCCACCTCCACATAAAACCCTGGTCGATTAAGGTTCAAATTAACCGAAAATCTTGAAGAATCAATTGTGTTTATGCTCTTGTTAGACAAATCGAGTCCAGGTCCACTCGATTAGGCTTCAAATCAAAAGAAATCAAAGCTTCTGCATCAGATCGGTTCTTTGCTACATCATATGGTTTTTTTGTTGCATCAGATGTTTTTTTAATGAATTTGATTTATTGAATGGCTTTGATCTCTTGAATGGATTTCTAGGTTAGCGTATTTTTTTGGATCTGAACACCGATGTTATTTTTTCTGGTGAAGAGGTAGTGGTGGTGGTGTCGGAGGTTAGTGGTGGTGATGTTGTCCAGAGGTCGTCATGCCCATCAGAATACATTCCCCCTCTCTTTCTTCTTTCTCTCGCCGGTCACCACTGGATCGTCGACTTGAAGCATCAAATTTTATGCAAAATCTTTATGATGTTTATGAAAACATATTTTATAAATTGCTCTGACATTTGTTTCAGATTCGTTTCAGGTTTCTGAAGAAAAAAAGTGGTTTGTTTTAGTAATGGGTTTAGGTTTTTATTTCATCTCATTTGGTTTTGGTTTCTAGGATATTAGATTTCATTGTGGCTAACTGTGATTTTGGTTTCAAGTTGGATTTTAGGTTTGATTTAGGATAACTTTGGTTTTGGTTTTCAGAAATCAATTCAATCTTACCGGAGGAGGAGCTATGGGTGTTCTTTGGAGAAGACGTAGGTTGTTTATAGGAGAGAAGAGGGTGAGAGGTGGGTGGAGTAGTAATGGGGTGGTAGGTCCCATCAGATTTTAATATCCAATTAATTTCTTTTCCAAATTTAATTAATTGATAAATTGAAAAATGTAAAAGAAATCAGTAAAGGTAAATAAGTGTTTCTAAAATGGACGGAGACCAAGCGTGCAACAAAAATATAATACAAGGACGGTTCGAGTTAAAAAAAAGTTGTCAGGGAACATGCAGATTATCCTAAATCACAGGGACCATCTGTGTAATTTACCCCAATTTTTTTTATTGAATACTTAAATGGTGTTTTAAAACATAAAATAAGTTGGTTAACTTTTGAGTGTGTTCGGTACGCAGCGTTAGAGAACTTTTGACTTCTAGCTTTTAAAAAAACGTTAGTAAAAAAGAAAAAACTTCGTCCGATGATAGCAGCGTTTAACTTTTAACCTAAACAAAACGTTACAAAATCAAAAGCTATATGGGGAAGGTTTCAACGAAACGTTCCAAAATCAAAACCCACTAACCGCTACCGGCCAGAAAACGCCATTTATCACGTTAACCCTAATTTATCATTGTGCCACAGTAAGCTGGATCACGAGATATGGCTGTGGCTTTTTGCAATTTTTTACGAGAGCTGGCTGTGGCCTTTGTAATTTTTCTGCTCGTTTCGCTTCTCAAGTCTGAACACAGATGAGTTAGAGAGTCGCTTGCGCTAGTTTACGAGAGAGGAATTAAAGAGTCGCTGAGCCCTACTCCCCTTTTCTTTTTCTATTTCTTCAGCATTCCCTGTTAATGAATGTTCGTGCTTCCAACTTCGAGACGTTCATTTGAAGAAGGTAATTAGAGATTATACTTTCAACCTTTCTTATTAGTTTGTTTCCGTGTAAAAACAGTATTTGCGCGTTTGACTTTGATGAATGGATACATATTCAAACTATATTTGATAGCCATCTTATTAGAAAGTTTTCAAGATAGTAATTTCACTACCGACTGATGGATTGTTCTTTTCATTTAGTGTGTAATTTCCATCTAATTTAGGTGGCGCTTAATTAATATGTGTAATTCCAATGACATTATTTTGTATCAGAGAATTATTATTATTATTATTATTATTATTATTATTATTATTATTATTATTATTATTATTATTTTGTAAAGAAAGGGCTATGCCAGAATATTAGTTTTCTTATCAACATTAAGCACATTGTTCTAATCTGTTAATAATTTACTTACGATTTACTATGATGTATTGGTGCAGGCGGGGGGATATCCACTTATAGTGATTTCAATAGGCCGATGGTAGTGGTTCACTTTTTTGGCATTTTTATTGATTATGTTTAATCTTATGCGCTAATTAGTTGTGAAGTTATTTAAGGCATTTGTATGCTTTGCAGGCAGATACAACCATTTTAGAAAAATGCATAACGTTTGGACCATGGGGCATGAGCATCTCAGCCAGTGGCGGACGCAGAATATTTTAGTAGGGGTTTCCCACGTACTTCAAGCGGGTGCACCTAATAGAAAAAACCAAAAAAAAAAAAAAGAAAAAAAAAAAATTTTACACTGCGTGCTGGAAATTGAGCAGTGGCCCGGGACCCCAAATGCCCCACTAAGGTCCGCCACTGATCTCAGCAGGGAACGAGTGGATTTATATACCAGATGGGTTTATTAAAAAGATTCGTATTTTACATGGAGTGTGTATTGATGGCATTGAATTCCAAAGCGACAGTAGCACAGGTGCACGACAAAATCCTATTTTGGTAGCCAGTGTGGCAAACGAACGGACATGGTAACCGCTCTTATCTGAATATGTCTCGATGCATGTCATTGTATATGTCAATGCACATTATGAACTACACTTCTCATTTTTTGCACATCTGCATCGACTATCCAGATGAATATTTAACTTCAATAAGTGGGACAACTACTTGTTATTTAGTGACGTCATTATGTTTCCACACAAATCAGAATCGTTATGGTCCATATGGTAATTCTCAAGACGGCACTCGTTTCTCATACGAGGGTAAAGGTGGGGTGCTTGTTGGATTTCATGGACGTTTTAGCACATGCATCACGTCTATTGGGTTTTACGTGATGCCAAAATCACTAGCAATGGGCCGGAACTCTTCATTTGAAGAAAATCCCAGATCTGAGGTTCATTCTAATCTTTCTAACTGCATCATTTCCATTGACAACAACCCTTTTGCCAAGTTTTAATCACTGTAAAGTGTTTATAGCATTCAATTGGTTGAATGCAATCATATATTTTTTTAATATTGACCGCTACTTGGTTTGCTATGCCTTAAACTTTATTCCCAGTCAAACATGAGAGTATTCTTTATATTGTTGTTTAACAACATTTTTGTTGTTCTAAAGTAATTTTTTTATATGCATTATCATTTTTCATTTGCAGAAATGTTGTAGGATGTCGTCACTTGGAATTCCAAGGGATGTAGGACCTTGGGGGGCTTCAGGAGGTAAAGCATGGGATGATGGGGTATTCAACATTATCAAGCAAGTTAGGGTTCAAATAGGAGAGCCTTCAAAAGTGATTTTTGGTATCCAATTCAAATATGTTAAAAAGGATAGTAATTTCATTTTGTCACGGTTTCATGGAGGAACAGATCATGATGGGGATATATCAGAAGTGGAGATTAATTTGGATGGTGTGCAAGAGTATTTGACTGGAATATCGGGGTATTATGGACCTGTTGAAGGCTATGATGGATTGGAAGGTATAACTTCCCTCGCTTTTCACACAAACAAGGGGAAACATGGGCCTTATGGACAGGAAAGTGGAGGTGCCGGGTATGTTTATTTTACATCAACCACATCTTCTGGGAAAATAGTTGGTTTCCATGGTAGGAATGGTGATTTTCTTACTGCAATTGGTGTTCATATGGAGTATCTCTGAAGATAATGGAAGAAGCGTAGACCTTTTGCTAATATTTCATGTTTTAATGGTAATTGCATCGAATTTGCTACTCTTCACTTTTGATAATATAAGATTGCCATGTTCGGGTTTTTTTTTTTTTTTTTTTTTTTTTTTGAGTAACTCGTGTATGTAAAAATTATTTGGCACTTCTAATTAAGCGATCATGCCCTACCATGTTTGTTTCGAATTGATTCATGAAGGTTATTTTTCTCTTCGATGTACAATATTTAAAACACACTTGTGTTATTGTGCCTCTATTAAGAACATGAGATTAACAATTTATTAATTCTATTATAATACTTCAACCTGGGCAAAACTAAGGAAGTTCAACTTTTACAATCATGTGTGATTAAGCTCTTTTACCTTCTTTTTTATCAAACTTTCACGCCATCATTGTTTGTTTCACCAAGATCAAAAGCAATTTGAGTTTGAACCTAACTTTTATTTTGCCAAGGTTTGCACTCTAAAAGACGATTTTGAGATTTTTAACATCAACATTTTTTGAATAACAGAGGTCATTTGAACTGGAATGTAATAATCCCTTCTAGTCTCTTTCGAAAAAAAAAATCCCTTCTAGCATGGGTTCATCTTCATAGTCCCTTCGTGTCTTTTTTAAGGCATTGATCATTTCACACACAAATAGGTTTCATTGTTTTTATTGTTTCATCATCAATTTCTATCGACTCTGACATCTTATACGAAAAGAAATTCAAAAATCATAAACATAAGCAAAAATAAGTGTAACATTTTCATATATTTTCTTTCACATAAACCTAATCAATAAAGAACTCAAGTTCCCAACATAAATTTGATCAACAAAGAACTCAAAATAGTAAACAAGTTGTCACATGTTTGACAAACCTGGTCATTGTTTCTACATATATGTACATATTTGACAAAACATGATCACTGTGACAACCCGAAATTTCTATTCTGTACAATCATTCACTTCAATAGAAGTCAGAACAGTTTTTGCTAACTTTTGAGCTGTGTAGAGTCAGTTTGAGTATTCTAAAGCCTAGTACTTCAGGAGAGAGGATGCCCTAGGGTTTATTGTGTAGCAATAATGTCCCAAAACTCCAAGAGTTTGGAGTTTACGGCCTAAACAAGGTGTTTACGGCCGTAAACTCCAAGGGTATAAATATGGCACTTAGCCATTTTAATCACTTTTTAACTTTTCAAGATCCAAAACTCAAATCCTCTCAAGTATCATCCGAATTTCCTTCTTGATCTTCAACTTTGTAAGTGTTTCTATCCCTAATAAGTTGATATCTTACTTAATCTAGTGATCTTACATGATTCCATCCGTGAAATCATTCCAAATGTGTAGATCTTCAAGTTTCACCAAGAACACCAAGAACACACACTAGTGTTCTTGGACTTTTAGCACCTTTTCAAGCTTCTACATAGTAAGTACTCTTACCTAGGCTTGCTATAAGACTTATTACACTTCTAATCATCAAGAAAACACCAAGGAAACACAAGATCAAAGGTGTTGACGGTCCAAGATGTTCTTGGACCGTAAACCCTAATAAGGGTACCAAAGTGTGCCCTAGTCCCTTACTAAGCCTTGGATACTAGTGTAGAACATAACCTTGATGTGCTTAGGACTTAAAACATCAAGAAGACCATAAACCATTTGGGTTTACGGCCGTAAACCCAAGGAGAAATGGTCCAAGGACCGTAAACTCCACAAAGGAGTGAAATGGTGCCCTAAACACTTCCTAAGGCTTAAACCTGAAGTAGGAATGCTTCTTATGATCTTTAAAGCTTCAAAACACAAAATGGTAGATGTACCATGAGTTTACGGCCATAAACTCAGGAGTTTACGACCGTAAACTCAATGAGTGATGGTCACAAAACCGTAAACTCCAAAAGAGTTTACCCTTGGACCCCAAACTCAATAGCCAAGTCCTACAACCCTTAGATGCAATCCTTAGTACTTATAACACTTAAACAAGGTGTTTTACATGTCCTAGGATGTCTAAACTTGGTTAACTAGTTGTTTAAATGACTAATTGGATACATATATGTGTTATTATATGTTAACTAGGATCCTTGTGTGTGTTCAAGTCTTCACTTGACACTTAGCATCCTATACTATCAGTTCATCCAAACCACTCACTACAGGTGAGTTCTTACCCCTTAATTAACCTTTTAAATGTTTTTAAATGCTTTTATGGGGGGGATACAAGTTGAACTATTATAGTTATTATATCAATCATATGTGATTAATAACTACCAAACAAGTGGATTTCTTACTTTTCAAACTGCGTTACCAAACTGTTTTATTTCAAACTGTTTTACAAACTCTTTTACATGTCAAATACTTTTACTTAAACTCTTTTACACTTATATTCTGTTGTGGACTTAGGGTATCGGTTATTTGTCCGAAGGTCGTTTGAATCCTAGTTATATATCAGGTATATGTATATAGGTATAAAGGTTCCTTCTTTCATTCAGTTCAATACCTTTGGGTAGCAAGGGTATACACACATGCTCAAACATTCAAACAACATTACTAGTAAGCTACGATAGGCGTAGTTTAGGAAGTTACTAATACTATTACTAGAACAATGAAACATACAATGAGTCATTTCATACATGAGTCAATACAGCTAGTACATACAATACATTACAAAACAGTTAGTACATACTATACATTTTACAAAAGAACATACATGCTGGACAGAGAGAGAACATATAATACAGCTAGTACATACAGTACATATACAAGAATACGATTTCAGTTATGTGAGCCACGTAATGGGGCATGGCATCACCTGTCATGACCGTTTTGTATCCAGAATCTCCTTAAGTGGGGAGCGTATGAGTTTGCGTATAGATCTATACTGGATTGACTATCCTACACATCGCTGCTCGCTACAGTGGGCCTTGCAAGTCTACGGGTGCCAAACGTCATTTTCTCCGACGTCTTACATCGTCGCGTTCTATAGTCGGTAGCAGGATACAGGCCGATCACATGGTACTTTAAATTACAATTGGTTTAAGGTAGTTAGTACAGTGGTAGTTACTTAATACAAAACTACAATACTATTTCATTTTCCCATTACATTCACTTTGTGATCTTCACACAATATACAGTAATGTAAAACTATATTTTTGGTAAATGATAGTCAGATTTGGGAAAATACATACTCTTACAAGAGACACACACACAGACACTCGATGCCTTGGTAGAAGGCTACTTTTAGTAGGAAACATAGGGTTTTCTAGGAGAGTCAAACCTTTTACAAACATTCACAAACTTTTGCATACTTACACATCACATTCTTACAAGTACTTTCATACAAATACAGACACTAAAATACTTATGATCTCACCAGCTTTAAAGCTGATAAACTCTTTCAAAATAACTTGTATTCTTAGGTCACCAGTAGACAGGTACCGGTGCCAGGTTTTTGAGAAGATGGAGCTCGTTCAAGACTCATCTTTTATTTTGATGTATATTTTTGGTGTCTATTTAACTTGACAGAACACACTTGTATTAAAATTATATTACTAATGCAATGGATGATGTTGTTGCTTGTTTACTACTATTCATTGTTGTGATATTGTACATGACGTCTTCCGCCCCCGAACGTTTCCGTCGTTCTTGGTTTTGGGGTGTGACAATCACATTATCATATACTTTCACGACCTGATCAGCAAAGATGTCGTTTTCCTCTTGTCAAGAGGAATTGAAGCAACAATGTGTGCGGCAATCGAGAAGGTTGTAGAACGGTAATTGGGGTCATAATCGGTTGGGTTAACTTGCTTTTCCTTTTAGACCCTATTAAACCCGACCTATTTCTCTAATTCTGGTTTAACTCGGTTGGGTTAACCGGGTCCGTTGACCATCTTTTACACTCATATGTGTGTATGTGTTTATTCATTTGGTTGTTAAAAATGATTACTCTATAGTTTTTGGTGTTATGTGCTTATTGAAAGAGGCATGCTTATTTTGCCTCTTTAAAGAACCATTTTGCCCAATATGCCTAGAGAATTTGAAACCCAACATCATCTTTAGCTAACACCTAACAAATCCAGATAAATAATTGTAAATTGTGTACTCAACACTCCCACATCTGCTATTATTATTAAAGTTAAACTGACCATGGACTCCTCAAGGCCATCTTGATCATCACACTAGATGATATGACTACATAAAAAACCATCAACGATCCTCTCCTATTCTAGCCGGCTGTAATCATTTTGGTTCGGATTCAACCAATTTATTAATTGGCTTGTAAACCCAATCTACTACATAATTGATTAAACTTGGATTAACACATTTAAAATAAAAAATTTAAATAAATTAATCAAAGATTACACCATTTAAGTTAGTTCCAAACCTAAATAAAATTTCTAAGTATGAGAAAAGCACAATCATAATTCAGAAATACATATAAATTGTTCATACAAATGTTTAATTTCAATGTGATTTGGGAGAGTGACTAATATCATTGGTGCTAAGAATAATGATGAGAATTAGGATTGCGTTTTTTTTTAAAACATAAATAATAATGTATAACCATCAAACGTAAGAGTTCCACAAAAAAGAAAAAACCCAAATACGGCAATCATGTATTATCAAAAGTGAGGACTGGACTGGCAAATTTGATTAAATTACCATTAATACATCCATCTTAGCAAAAAAAAAAAAAAAAGTCAAAGCTTCTTCTTCTATCATCATCTTCAGAAATACTCCATATGAACACCAATTGCGATTAGAAAGTCACCATTCCTCCCATGAAACCCAACCACTTTCCCGGGCGATGATGATGATGATGTTGAAGTAAAACAAACAAACCCTTCTCCACTTTCTTGTCCGTAAGGCCCATACATCTTCTTGTTTGTGTGAAATGAAATTGAAGTTATGCCTTCCAACCCATTAACTTCAACAGGTCCGTAAAAGCCCGATATCCCAGTCAAATACTCTTTCTCACCATCAAAATTAACCTATTAAGATTAAGGTTTACCCATTAGATTACACCGGTAATGCCACTCACAAATAGCAAACAAAAAAAGTGTATTTTTTTGCACATTACCACTTCTGTTTTATCGCCACGTGTTCCTCCATGCATTTGTGACAAAACGGAATTACCATCCCTCTTAACATATTCAAATTGGACGCCACAAAAGACCTTCAAAGACACTCCTAAATAAACACGTATTTGTTTGACATGTGAGAAAACTCCATCATCCCATGGCTTACCTCCAGCAGCCCCCCAAGGTCCTGCCCCACTCGCCATTCCTAGTGCAGACATCTTACAGCACAGCTGCAGTGAAATGAAATTAAATTAGTCACAAGTATCTAACACTTGTTAAACGCTAAAAGCATAAAAGAATAGACAATGAAATTCAGAGACCATAGAACGAACCCCATGTGAAGATTTGTCTCTACAAGCAAAGTTGGGATATAATGCTAGTGATTTAGGAATCACATAAATCCCAACAGAATCAATGTATTTTCCAGCACGACCATAAAATCCAACTATCATCCCATCTTTACCATCATATGAGAAAGGGGTGCCTTTATCTGAATTACCATACGGACCATAACGAATCTGATTTGTTCGAAAGCATAAAGACATGACTACAGTAGAACCTCCAAATTGACCAATTGTCCCACTTATATTAGTCAAATATTCGTCTGGGTAGTCAATTAAAATCTGCAGAATTGAGGAAATGTCATCGACAAATGTGTTTGATGAGATCAAAGAGGTATTGAAATAACATCAATTACCATGTCAGTTTTGTTGCCACCATCTCCACCAAAAATGGAGGTTTCAGTTTTACCCGTATGACAATCACTTTGAAATCTAATGCGATCGATAACCCCTGCATGTACGATTGTGATCTTTTTAAGAAAGCCGCCTTCAGGCATAATTACCCAGTCTTCACCCTGTGAACCACCCCATGGTCCAAGAGTTATGCACCCTTCATTACTTCTTGTACCTCCCTGTAACCCATTAAAAATCATTGTAGCTTCATAAAGCATTAAAGTAGTATTTTTGTTTTTTCATAGAATAAGAATGGAAAAATAAAAAATTGAAAGTCTACCATATCTGGCTACTGAAACAGGATGAAAGGATAAACTCTAATTGCCTTCTTCAGTTGTATGCTCCGGTGAATATACTGAAACTGGAATAAGGAACATGCAGAAAATGCTGAAGAAATAGAAAAAAAAAAAAAAAAAAAGAAGGCCTAGTGTGTAGAGTGTAGGGATCATCAACCGACTCCATCTTCAGAAACGAAACGAGCGGACAAATTGCAATAAATTACGTTTTCTTCGATTTAAAGGTAAATTACAAAGACTTTATGCTTAATTTTTACAACTATTCATTAATTAAAATGATTAGGGTCTAAGGAGAATACATCTCAAAATGATCATCTTTTAAATCTCTAATACAAAAATGATTACCAAACTTGCAATAAAAACACGTTATAGATTAGTGAAGCAGTATTATTTAAAGATATTGAAATCCTCTATTAGTTTATTTTTTATGATTTCCATGTTTATTAAATTACACGAAATACAACAGTGAACTTCTTTAATTATATTATAACCTTGTAACCCGGTTTCTTTTTCTTGAAATACTCAGAGTATGTTGTTCATTTTCTCAAACAATATATAGATATTTTGTAAGGCTGGAGGGAGTGGAAATTACATGTTATGATGTCACATCATTTGTTTGTCATGTCAATTTTTGCTATATAGCATAAATGGCATGTAATTTTCAAAGGTAGGTCAAGATATTTTTTTGTTTTTTATATTTTATATTAAATTAAATGTTTAAAAAAAACATTTCATTACAAAAAAAAAAACTACAACATTTGAAATATTACTTAAAACTTGACTTAAACTAGACTTATAACTACTCAATACTAGACTTAAAATTAAACGCTTAAAAACTTGACTTAAAACGTGACTTAATACTACTTGTGAAACTTATATTTTTTTCATAAGCTTCTCTTGCATTTTCTCTAGGAATGAAAGTGGATCCAAACCCGGATCGGTTTACCTGGACCCGGAAACCGGAATTGACAATTTAAAAGAACCGGGAACCGGACCGGTATATAGGAACCGGTTCCGGTTCGGTTCCGGGTAACAAACCGTGTAAAGTGGGTATAGAACCGGTTGGAACCAGAAATTGATAATTGGAACCGAATTCGTATATTAGACCCGAAATAACTGGAAACCCGAAAATTGAACCGGAAACCCGAAATTTTGGAACAAAAGAAAAAAATAATATGTTAGAAAAAAATAGGACAAGGTATTTATTACGAGACTTTATGTTAATATTAATATATTTTTTCTTTTACTAACATTATACACATGCAATGCAACAGGATATAATTTTTCATAGTAATTGAATGGTTCCATCAATTTACCGAAAGTCGACCTTAAAAGTCCAATCTTCAACCGAAATAAAATATCAACACTATTAGATGGAAAGGTAAAAAATTTCAAATGATAGTTTGTGGTGGCGGTGACATATCAAGTTATCAAAGATGAGCAACGAAATATTGAATAATAAGTTAATAACCACTACCTTTATTTCTTTCTGTTTTGTTCCAAGGATTGTAGCTTTTAATAATAATAATAATAATAATAATAATAAATAGAAGTATAAAATTCGGGTAAAAATGCAAAATAGTAATTTGACAGAGAATTACTAGATTCCAAATAATGTTGTTAAAGGGAAGAGGGCAAATTTAGAACAAGCATGACAACAAAAACAATTTTAATGATTATATTTATTTCGAAATTTGTTTTGGATACAAAACTTTGTGATTAAAGTGTTTAACTATGAAATGAAAACTCTAAATTATAGAACTCATTTTTGAGTGGTCGATCTGTTGTAATTCATCAGTAGGCATATTGTTTGAATAATCTTTTAAATTCCGGTTCAAGGCCCACTAAATCGGTTCCGGTTCATTTAACTTGGTTCCGGTTTTTTTACAAATCCGGTTCTAAAACCCGGAATACCCGGATCCATTGGACCCGGACCCGGAATACCCGGAACCCGGATAAGGCTGATTTTTAGACCCAATACCCTGACCGTTTAAGCATTTTCCGGTTATACCGGTTCCGATTTCGGTTCGGTTCTGGTTCCAGTCCGGTTTTCCGGTTTTATAACTCATCCCTAATTTTCTCCACAACTCGACGTTGACGCTCGGGTAATTTTGAAACGTCTTTCATCATTAGCTCCCACTCACGATTTCTTTGTTTTTGTTTTGCAAGTTGCAACATTCTTTGGATGTGCTCATTTAACTCCATTAGCCCCTCTCTTTTCTCCTCACTCGAAGAAACTTCGACACCCTTGAGCTTTCTCTTTGCTTTATCTCTTCCTATAGGACAACTCCACCTCGGAATATCATACACTACAAGAATAAGCACCTATAGAGACGAGATCTATAGGGACAACATATGTCATCGCAATAGTCGCCCTATAGGGACGACATGTTGTTGCCATAGAGTTGACTAATTATTTTTGACTTTTGAAGCTACAACGACGACCTCTCGTCTCAACATGTTAGGCGGGAACGGAAGTGAATTTGGCGCGTTCTTGAAACACCTATGGGGACGAATTCTCGCTCCAATAAAAAAAATAAAAAATAAATAACATATTTTTTAAATCCTTTGACGGAAATAATGGGGAAGGTCGTTTTGGGGATAGCTATAGGGACGACTTGTCGTCCTCACAGCTCTCTACGGCCAAAATTGGAACAGCCCCTTCGTTTCATTCACGCACGCTAAGTAATCAATCATCGGTCTCTCTCGATCGATCGGTCAAAGATTCTCCGCTGACGACTTCCACACCTCCCACCACCGGCAAATCTTTTTCCTCTCTCCACCGATCATCATGCTAGTTGCCGAAGACCACCGACGATCAGCTTCAACACCGACGATTCCAACTATCGGCTTCCTTTTCATCCCCGGTTACGAGTTCTAACTATTACAAGCCCCACTCTGGCGACCTAGGTTAGTAATTCTCGGTTAGAAACTGGAATTGGGGTTTATGTTAGCAATTATGTGTTTGAAACTGGAATTGTGATTTTCTATGGTTTCATAGCTCTCACAGGAATCATCGACGGAGAGGAATGTCGAACACCGTCGTGAATGGCCTTGTCGGAGCTGGCGGAGGTATCATTGCTCAAATCATCACGTATCCTCTCCAATCGGTACTTATCCTTCCCTTTTACTTTCTCTGTCTACTTCCTATTCGTCTGAAGAAGATGCTGATATGACTGACAATGCTGATCTAGATACAACATACCTTCATACTAATGGAAATGCTGTAAGCTTTTGATACATTATTAGATCTCCGTGTGTGTTTGTAACTGATACCTGATATTCCATCTTGAAACACACGCTTTTTAACATCTGTTTGGCATCTACCAAACAGGGTCATGGGAGCTTACCAGAACATAATAATGCAAATGGAGAGCATAGTGTATCTGGAGACCTGCATGGTGTTCAACCAGATCCTGTAGCTGCTGATATTCTTAGGAAAGAACCAGAGCACGAGACCTTTGTAAGGCTGAGAATCAGCCCATTTGGTAATCTTCTCTCTTTCTTTTTGTTTGTAATTTCATCTATGCAGGAAAAGACATACATACACAAGTATTTGAAAATTGAATAATCTTCTTTCTTTCCAACTCCTCTTATTGCAGAGACACCATCTTCTGATGAAGCAGAGGTTTATAGAGCATTACAAGGTTGTCTTGAGATGCGAAAGAGCTATGTGTTCAGAGAAAGCATTGCTCCATGGGAGAAACAAGTTATATCTGATCTTAGTTCTCCAAAGCGTAATCCAAATCCTTTTGAGTATACCCCTGAGACAAAATATGATGTAGGTTTGAAGTTTCTGACACAAGTTTGTTCTTGATGCTTATTTTCTTGAATCTTGACTTGATATTCAAATGGTTGCAGCATTATTTTCAAATGGAAGATGGCGTGGTTCATGTTTATGCAGATAAAGATTGTAAGATAGCATGAATCAAAAGCATCTGTTGAGGTTCATTAAGTCCAAGTTCAAAAAGAAACCAGATGAGGTAATGCTTCATATCTATTTCTTGATCATTTAAAAATGTGTTTCTCTTTTGCATGAATCAAAGTTTCCTTTTTCCTGTTTCAGGTTGTAATATTTTGTGATGGGACATATCTGACCTTAAAAGAGGTTTTTGAGAGCTTGGATTTAACCGGGTAACTTTACTATCTGTAGAACAATTATATCTTCTTGTGTGAATGTTTTTTTTTTTCTAATCATAAGTCTTAAATGTAGATACGACCTGAATGTTGATCAATTAGATGTGCACATTTCATCATTTTGATAAATTCAATCTGAAATACAACCCCTGTGGTCAAAGTAGGCTTCGGGAGATTTTCTTGAAACAGGACAATCTTATTCAGGGTAAGTTTCACTACTTTTTCAGGTCGTTTTCTTGTTGAGGTAACAAGCCAAGTGTTTGCAGATCTTGAAGCGAGTAAATATCTATATATGGAAGAAAGCAAAGTGAATGGGACAAGTGAGTTTTGAAATCCATGTTATTTATTTATTCCTTTTATTTGTTTTGATCCATGCATGACACTTACACTTACACTTAAAGCTTTTGCCTTTTGACAGATGGCTGAATACAGAATATCTATATATGGAAGAAAGCAAAGTGAATGGGACAATTTAGCTAGTTGGATTGTAAACAATGAATTATACAGTGAGAATGTTGTCTGGTTGATTCGGGTGATCTCTTACTACAATACTTTAAAAGACACCAAATGTTTATACTTTAATATCAACTAACATTATAATTTATATGCATACTTGTGTTGTTCAGCTACCCCGACTTTACAACATATACAAAGAAATGGGAATTGTGACATCATTTCAGACAATTTTGGATAATGTTTTAATCGATCAAGATTCACATCCCCAGTTGCATGTTTTCTTGAAACAGGTACCAATTAAATTGTACACATTACATCATTTGAATTTGATTTATTTCATAAAAATTTCTGTTTATTAGGCCTCGATTAGTGAATATGTGCAAATATATGGGAATCCAACCTATTTGGAACAGATGCTTACCTTTGTTACATCAGAAAAAAAAAACTTCAATGGTATATAAATTTATTCATCTTTTATTTATAAAAATCATTAAAATGTGGTCATTTTACTTACAATTTACACTTTTTTATTTTTTGCAGAAGGTGGTTTGGATTATGTTCAGTTGAAATCCGTTTAGCACTGAATGAGATTGCATTCTGGATGGACATCTTCGGATGATGAAGATGAAATAGATGGACATCAAGATCAAGGTTCCTTCTTCTCCTAGTTCCTTCATCCTTTTTTTTTCAGATAATGAAAGTGGGAAGAGTGCAAGAAGCTTTAGGGAGCAAAAAAGGGCACACTATGATGAGAAGCAATCAATTGTTGATGGTGTTTTTATAAACCATGTAGAATGTAGTGTTATGTACACAAATGATAAGGCATGTGATGATTATGCAAATTTCCTCAAGTTAATAATTTTGTTCTTCATATGAATTATATTTAATAATGTAGTGTTTTGAGATTGTATCAAATATTAATGTTTTGCAATTAAATTTACCGTTTTATCTATTTTGTAAATGTACTGCTTTAGTAATTTTGTGACGTGAAAACTGGGAAATTATAGAGAAAAAAGAGCAGCTGTATGGGCATACATATAGAGACGACATGTCGTTTCTATAGGTGGATCTATAGAGACGACATGTCGTCTCTACAGGTTCATCTACCACGACGATATATTGTTGCTAAAGGGTAGGGCGAGTCGACTACATCTCTATCTATGGAGACGACGTATTGTGTTTATAGATATACCTATAGAGGCGACATGTCGTCTCTATAGCTTCATCTATGGAGACCAGCAATGTATAGCGACGAACCAGAACAGGACGACGTGTCGTCTCTAAAGGATAGCTATTGCGACGATATTTATAGCGACGACCAAAAAGATCTATTGCGACGGGGCTATGAGGACGAGAGCTACAGGGACGACATGTCATCCCGGACACGTATAGGGACGACTTTTTTAACCTATAGAGACGACATTTGTCGTCCCGATAGGTCCCGTTTCTTGTAGTGATATGGTTTGTCATCGCTGAGGTATATTCCAACATGTGCATCCGAAGATTGACTATGGGAGTTTTTGAATGTTTTTGTTCTTTTTGAACTACCTGTGAAGTCTTCCGACTTGTATTGTTTAGCCATTTTTCTTTGTCCTTCACAACATTCCAAAAACTAATATTTTTTAATGTTTTCTTCTTTTCCTTACAGTACACTTCTTGAGCTTTGGATATTATTTGTGCATCATTAGCACCTTCACGTTGACGAAGATACCATTGAAATTTCTTGCATATTTGCTTGTATTCCTCCGTTTTGAATATATTTATCTTTTGTTCGGTATGAACCTCTCTTCATGCGCTTAATAAAAATTTCCACACTTTTACATCAAAAAGTTTCTCCATCTTAGTCATCACCAATGATAGGATCCTCTGATACGTCAACTCATGCTTCCGCTAACGCCTTTTCTTCATCCGTTGACCAATTTTATTGTTTGCCCTCTTTTCTTCTTTTTGTCGACTCGAGGGTTGTGTGGTAGAGGGCGGGATGGAGTGAATGGTGGATTATCGGATTCGATTGAATTCGATTCAGAAGATTGAAAGATATTTTATTGCATTTTTTTCAAACGTGTTAAATTCAAGTTGTGAATTTAGGGTTGGGATGGAATTTGAGATGAGGATTGGAATTGGGGTCTAGATGTAATTTATGTTGGAGATTGGAATTGGGGTTGGAATGGAATTTGGGTTGGAGATTGAAATTGGGTTTGGTTTGCATCATGTGTAATATGAAACATTTTCGGGATAATGAATCATTGGTGGTGAGTATATGGGTGCTTCAAGTTGAGGTCGATATACCGAAGAAGACAATTTGTTTGGTGAAGTGTTTGAAACATTTTTCTTATTTCTTCTAGGGGTTTTTTTTTGTTGGCTATGAGAATACATTTTTGAATTTGAGAGATTTAAAGAAATTTGATGTTTTGTAGGTTGGTGTGGAATAAGTTGGAAAATATAGATGTATGGTCCTACTATACACACACCATTCTACTATATTATACTAAATTTCATGCTACTTTTTTTTATCATTATTATCATATGATTTAGCCTAATCATTATATTTAATAATAATTATCTTACAACCTAATTATTTCATAAACTTTATTATTTAATTTTTTTATTATTATTATTATTATTATTATTAATTTTATTATTTAATAATTATATTTTTATTACCAATTAATTAATTATATTTACTTTTTCCTATTTAAATATTTTATTTCAAACTTATTTTTTTTAAATAAGTTAAAAAGAACAAATATATAAATATATTATATTTTACAAACTATGTATACTACGACGTTAAATCATTAAATCATCATATAGTAAATTACAAAATGCATCGCAATGTATTTTTATATTTACTGAAAAATACTCAAAAAATTTATGGATTTAATTTATGATTTTGCACTTTATATATAATTAAAAATTGATTAAAAAATAAAAATAATAAAAAAATTGATTAAATATTTCAGCGGCGATAACGTTGAAATAGGAGGCATTGGGTACATCAAATAACTATACATATAAAAATGAAATATTATAAGTTATATTTCATCGTCGCTTCGCCAGACCACAGAACCACCAAGTTGTCGTCGTTGGACCACCAAATCGTCGGACCATCAGGCGTTACGTCGACACTATCGTCATATTGTTTATAATTTTTTCTTACTTTTTCAACTTTTCTTTAAACTTTTTACAACGTTTGAACATATATTTTTTACAATTTTTTCACAAAAGAAAACTTTATAAAAACATTTCATGAGTTGTAAAAAAAACTTTCAGATTCAGATGATTTGATTTTGTTAAAAGCGGGTTTCGGATAAACGGAAAAAACGTCAAAAAGTTAAAATTAAATAATATAAACGAACAATAACATCAAAAAGTTTAAAAAAAATAAACAAACAAAACGACAAAAAATAAATAAAAAAACAACATTAAATCTACATATTCGAATGAAACTACAAGAAAATTAAAAAAAATATAAATAAATAAATATAAATAAAATAATAAATCATAATATTAATAAATAAAGATTTTAAATAATTTAGGTAATTAATTTAATATTATTAAATAAGTTGATCCTTTATATTTTCCTAATTAAAATTTAATATTATTAAATAAATTGATCATTTATATTTTTCTAATTAAAATCTCAAAATATAAAAGGATATATAACAAACAATAAAAATAAGACATATCTTATAAAGAAAAAAAAATTGAAAACGACAAAGAAACAAGGAACTGTGGTTTAGCAAAGAAAAAAAGTAAATGGTTATTTGTACAAGTAGAAAGTAATAATGGTGCACACAATTTCCAAGATTTAATTGTTTAAAAAAATTAGATTGGTTTGTGATAAGTATAGGATAGACTGGTGTGTCAAAAAAAATTCCCTAGATGTATTTATAGAGGATGAATGCCATTTTTTAAATTTTGTATTTTAAAACTCTAAGAGCTAGCTTAAAGCAAAAAAAAAAAAAAAAAAAAAAGTGGGTGAATTTGAATTGTAAAGAGTGGTTACATAAAATTTGAATATATGGGTTAAAAAGGTAAATTTTTATTAAAGAAAAAAAATAAATACAAAATAATTGTTGGCTCCTCTCCCTCCTCCGCACATTTATGCTGTCGACCCATGCTACCATTGGCATGCCGAGGGATGTTGTATGCTGAGCTCGCCGAGTAAAATGTCGACCACTCTCCAAAGCCTAAAGAAAAACCCAACCATGAATATGATTATCAACCAAATAGACCAAAATATGCAAGTCCCGAAACCAATTTAATGTTCAAAATACTTTTCACAAAATTGTTTTAAGTTATGTATATCAACTGTACATTTGAATTTAATCTAGATATATATACCTTGGATATTTACTTGTGGTGTTATTTTGCAGAGATCTTTTTGCAAACTATTTTAAGAGATTTTATAAGCCTTTTTATGTTAGTTAATTATTTGTATATAATTTCATAATTAAGACAGTCAAAAACTTCAAATGACCGTACAATTTTACTTTTGACTTTATTTCATGATTTTCTATACATTTCGTGAAATACTTTATTTGTTTTGCAAATCGATTACTATGTGGTTGTTGATATTATGGGGGTGTTTTGTTTAACTTTTGAGAGGCCAAAAGTCCTTTTAGGAAAAGATAAAAGCTAAAAGATGTTTGGTAAAAACATTTTAAAAGCTACTTTTGGATTTTGGATATAAGGAAAACTGACTTTTTGGAAAAGTCAGAAAACCTGATTTTTTGTAATTTTTCCAAAAAGGACTTTTGGCCTCTCAAAAGATAAACCAAACACCCCCTATAAGATCCCATTTAACGAAATCA